TTATATTGGGAGGTTTATCTTGGGAGGTTTATTTTGAAGGGTTTATTATCCGGATTATTGTTGACCGGAGTTGTAAACCGGCTAAATGATAAACGGATTAGTTTACCGGACAAGCCTTAGAGTGGTTTGTTGTCCGGAGTTGTAAACCGGCTAATTGATAAACGGATTAGTTTACCGGACAAGCCTTAGAGTGGTTTGTTGTCCGGAGTTGTAAACCGGTTGAATGGTGAGCGGTTTAGTCTTAAACCGGACGAACCTTGAACGGACTAGTGTCCGGTTTAGTTATCCGTTCAATTGTGTTTTAAATTTTAAGTATATGTGGTGTCCGGATTCGTTATCCGGACAAATGTGGGAAAACTCATGTATTAAACCGGATGAGTCTTAAGCGGTTTAGTGACCGGATTAGTATAAACCGGACAAGCCTTGAGCGGTTTGTTGACCGGATTTGTTATCCGGATGAGTGTTGACCGGATTGTTGACCGGATTGTTGACCGGACTTGTTATCCGGATGAATATTGACCGGATTTGATTGATCGGACTTGTTGATCAAATTTGAAATGATATTTTGTGGCTTGATGAAAATTGTTATTGTATCATAAAATGAAGTTTTGATATAAATGTTTTGATTTATAAATTATTCCAATGGCTGCGGTCTATTTGGAATTATTTTATAAATGTTTTGAAGAAATAAGGGTGGCATATCAAGGAGAGGTGTCCATTTGTTATAAGGGTGGCATTATCTGTGTGTGTGGTTTTATATAACTCTTTCTATTATATCCTTTGAGACTACCTAGATCTGGAATCTTTATTTCTTTGTGATTTAAGGATTTAGGATCAAGGTTCTTATTTGGAAATCATAGATTGGATGTTATTGTGGAGAAAAGAACTGTTTTGGCCTTAAACTTTGTTAAACCTCGTCATTGAGAAAAAGGTTTAAAAAGTGGCATTGTACGGAACCTAATTGGTTCAAAAGGTATGAGAATTGAATAAGCTAAGTGATAGCTTGAATTTGAGAAATGACTTGGTATTTTGGTATTATGGATTCATATATTTGTTATTTATATGAATACTTGATTTTGCAAAGATTTTGGTGATCCTTCACCCTGCAATGACATGAATAGGGTATCTCACTAGACTTTATAGTCTAACCCTYGTTTTGTGTTTTAAAATGTGTATTGCAGGAAGTGTGGAAGGTAAAGGAAAGGAAAAGATTTAGTGCTTTTCTTTCGTGCATTTTGGTTGAAGATTTGCTTTTGATGCATAGCTCTGATGATTAGTAYAARATTGTATTTGGAATTTTTGGACCTTGTGTTTGGTCATAGTAGATTTCTTGTACTAGTGGACCCGAATGTATATGAATACTTATTTCTTTGGTATGAAATATGTATTACATGCAATGTGTGGGTTGGGGCGTTACAAGGGCCGTTCTTAGAAGAGGGCGGTATGGATGTACGTTCAGGTCCTAAAAATATCAGATGCCTAAATTTTTTCTTTAAAATACAATAGTAGTCTAAAAAAGTTTAATAAATTAAAGAAACCCAAAAAATTGTAGCATATAATCAAAAACAAAAAAAAATTTAGTAGATAATAAGTCCCCAAAATATATCAACTAATTACATTGGATAAAATAAAAAAATTAATTGATCATTCATTATATGTCATTGTTTATTGTCTCTCTAATTTTTTTTCTTTATCTCCAATAAGATCCAATGATATTGCTTATTGCTATATCTATATACTTGAATTTTTTCGTTCTTCAACAATTCAACATAAAGATCATGTGCTTGCTATTGTTATATATTTTTATTTGATATTTTTATCAATTTATGCTTCTATTGACTATTGCTATTTGGTTATGTTGTTCTAATTGTTTTTGTTGACTATTGTATACTTAATGTTCATACATAGTTCATCAACATAATTCAAGGTACCATTTATGAATTAGAGGCATTCTTCCCATCAATAAATGCGGGTAGAGGTATAAATGATACGAGTCAAGCTCGAGTATCGATATACTCAACTCGAACTCGATATAGTATGAATTCTAATACCCTCTTTATGAATTCTAAGGCCCTCTTTATGCTCTCAAAGACCGGCTTTTACAGAATTGAGATTCCATAGGTCGAAACGAAGCCCTTTAAAGGTAGAATTAGGAGTCAAAGCCATGCATTGAGCCCGATTGTTATTCTCCCTTTTTAGCACTAGATTGACATTCTCATTTCGCTTGTTCAGTTCCAAGCTCCGTGGCTGGTCTGCGCTCTTTGGACTTTTCAAACTTAACAAACTGAAACATCCTCTCGATGAAATTTTCCATGTTGCACTGTCGTTTTCTCAAGCCCGAGATCAACTCGAATGACTCGCGAGAAGTTAAAAACTAAACTCGACACGAACTCAAATGCAATTTTTTAGACTCAAACTAAAGCTCATTTGAAGCTCAAACCTAGCTCAAACATCAACTCGAATCAAGCTTGAACTTGAACTCTATTCGGGCTCAACAGTTGATATTTATGAATTTTTTGGTTTTCTCTTATAAATTATGAAACTTAAATGTATTCTCTTACGTTTTATAAAACTAAAGGCGTGCACCTCAAAAAGACAAAGTTACAAACTTTATTCACCTATCTCTCTTTTTATAACATTACTATCTCTCTTTCAAAGTGAGACAACTTTTTTTTCTCTTTTTTTAATTATAATCATGTGAGGTGTATTATGAGAATTGTTTATATATATTATCATAAAATATTAATATTCACCAAGCAAATATTGTGTTGTTACCTACTTTGATATAATTATTAAATATTTTTGCAATTTACTTACGTTAGTCATACTATACTCATTTGCAATATTCGCAAAACCCCTATTTTCCTACGTCTGATTGCACAAAGTGGAACAATAATAGCTACTATTGTAACCATTCCAAACAAATAGGAGTCTGCTTGACTTGTTATTTTTTCATTTGACATGTTCAAGATTTTTAGATTTATTTTAAAAAATTCATACTTTGGTTTCTCTTTAAAAAATCCTGAAAAAAGAAGTTTTAATAAAGTTATGTAATATAAAAGATATGTATTATATTGATTCTACTGTTAATTATATGTAGAGTTTGATTTTAATTTAAATAAAAAATTATATGTTTGTATGTATACATATATAGGGGAACGATCAAATGAAAACACTCAATATGTAAAAACCGTAAAAACCTCATTCCACCAATCATAAATTTTTATTTTGTTCATTTTTTTTTAAAATTATAAGAGGTTGATTAATCACTTTTATTGTGGAGGATGTTAATCATGGATATTATCATCTTTATTATTTTAATTTTAGAGAAATACATGAAAGAATTTCATTAAAATTTCATTAAGTAGTATATGAAACAATTTCATAACCATATATGAAACAACTTCATAAAAAAAAGTATTATATGAAACAATTTCACAAAATTAAACAATTTCATAACCATTGTTGCCATGAACTCTAAAAATGTTGTCAAGAACGAACTCTCACTTTCATTGAGAAAACTTAAGAAAATTATAAAAGAGAAAAGTATAAAAATCTAAAATCCCAACAAAAATAAAAAAGAAAGCATACCTAAATTAGTCTTATACAAAATTATTATCTCTGAATCAACTAACATAAACTCTTTTAGCCATTATTTATATAT